CATTTTCTTTTCCATTATCCCTTAAGATTCATCTTCAGAGCTGCAGGTGGTTCTTCCAAGCTCTTCTGGAAGGGGACTAAGCCAGCTATTTCGGTTGAATGCAGCGCCTTGCACCACCTTCTGTAGGACAAGTCTGGGGAAACAGGGCCGAGTGATGAAGCTGACTTAATGTATGAGTGACTGCGGACCCCAGGCTTCGCGAAAAATGACCTCTGCTAAGGTCTGTATTCTCCGAAGGCTTCGCCTTCACGCAAAAGGAGGCTCAGTTTCAATGGCTTCAATGAAAGCCTCAGGCTTAGCAGGCAGCCTGACTTGATCCAGATCTAGGACAGGACTTTCAGGTGCTTCAATCAAAGGCAAACAATTGGCTGCCGGCGTTGGCTTGGTAGCAGGCAGGCTTGCGAAGCATCGGGCAAACTCTGAACGGATGCTTTGGAGCTGCTTCGCTTGCTCTTCCTTCATCTCAGTAACCATGCTGAACACAGCTTTGGTGGCCAAATAGGATGCCACAGTGTCACTCTTGTTGATCTCGCCACGAATTTTCAGCAAGCCTTGCAAGAGCTCGGTGATTTGTAGAGTACCTTGAATATTCTGGCTTGCTGTTAAGGCACTTAAACTAATTTACTATATTGGGGAAACTCTGCTATTTACTGCATATGTCCGTTATGGTAACTTAATTCAAGTACTGGGTTCAGGCATAATTACGTAACAACAAGAAAATACTGTTCCACAACAACTCAGGCACCACTCCCGTCCGCATCAATAATTTCAAACAAGTTGGCACGGTCGTGTGGTAGATCTAATTCATCCATAAGCTTCTGTACACCACGGTCCTGGATAATGAGAAGAAAAAGTTCCTTGGTAATTGCGATCTTGTCATGCATACCATCCTCAGTGTACAACGCTTTGGCCGCACAGGTGTTGACGCGCGTCACCGGAGTTTGTTCCATGTCATGATCGTCATTGGAATTGCTGCTCTGGCGGTGGTCATGAAATGAGTGATATGCCGATGAAAAATTCTTCAACAGCTCTCTTGTGCACCTGGCAACTCGAATCGACTCGCGCGAGTACTGCTCCGCGGTGACTGCATCATTCTCCTTGGCGGCCTTCATAGTTATGTCCACGTATACAGCCAGAATTACATTGAATATGCCCATCGTCACAAGCATGTAGCTGCTGACATAAGCCAAGATGAAGAGCAGTCCAAACTTTGACGCAAGCAGTGAATGAATAGGCTGTCCCTCATCATTTACACACTCCCCAGTGAAGCATCGGAACGTCGTAAACATGGAGTTGGGGATATTGCTAAAATATTCACTCAAACCGATCTCCTCCGTAATCGGGCTGCTTCCTATGGTCATTGTAGTGAAGCCTGATATCACATACAGGACCGCAAACAACAGGACGAAAGCAAGCGCCAGGGTTCGTATGCCAGCTATCAGCCCTTTGACCATGAGGCGCAGGTCTTTCATGAACTTGATGCGGAAAACCTTTCGGGAATGCTGAGGGACCATAGAAAGCGCAACCCATAATCATGGCCCAGATCACCCTCGCTCCACATTCCCAGTCCCCCCCTCTGGCACGATATGGTCCCCATCTGGGGATAAGGCAATCTCAAACCACACCTCTATAAACTTCATTCTAACCCACAAAAACCAGAACACAGGACCATAAGGGCCACAAGGGAGGGGCGGGGTAATGTGACAGTTATATTATATCATCGACCGTGGCGCAGATAGTCCCACCATTTTGCGGTCAAAGGCTGCTGGTATGGATTGTATGGGTGTTTGGGCCTCCAGGTTCCTCTTATAAGGGGTTCTCAAAAGTAGATAACTTTCCACAGGGATGATCGCATAGTTGTGCCCATGTCTTGAAGGGGCCTTCACGATTCGCACCAATCGGATTAAGCGGCAGAATCGTAGCAGCGATGTCCCTGCAACTCCTGATTGCCTAGGTCCAGCAACCCCGGGTTTAGGGTTACGGCCTGGGGTTTAGGGTTTAGGGTACCCTTTTTCCTAATGTTCAACTTTGGTATGGAGACCCCAAATAAAAAGGGTAAAAGGGTACTACTGGGGTACCTAGTTGCTGGTCGTCCAGGAGTTGAATGGCAATGTCGGAAAGGCCAGTGCACATGAGAAACATATCAAACCAATTCCACAGACGCTCTGATCCACACCAGTAGCCACAGAAGCCCAGCATGCACATACGCAAGCCAACTTCCAGTATCAGGCCTGGAGCAGGTCTGAAATTACGGCGGAGAAATTGTCTGTCCCCCAAACGATCCCTTCGGGGAACATATTCCCTTACTACGTCTCGTGCTCTGGCTTTTCGAAAAGGGGACACACACTCGTGACAGCACACATGAAATATGTCTCTTAAACGCGGGCATGCTGCCAAGCTCATGTCTTGTTGCAAATTTGGGCAGCGTGCACATGACACCCTCTCAATGAACAGTGGGAACAGAAAGCACGATAGAGGCTCGCCCACTGGTTTTTCTTCCGTTGCTGCTAACGGTGCTGGTGCTGTTGGTGTTGCAACTGCCGCTCCTGCTGCTGCTGCTGCTGAACTGCTTTCAATCAACCAGCTGAGTGCCAGGCAGGCAGCAAAGGCAATCTCAATGTAGACCCATCCATGCCAATCCTTGTAGTGAGGATCCGTCTGGAAACCTTCAGGGGCATCGCCACTAAATCGTAGCAAAGCCAACAAAAAGAAATAGAAGTCTGTAGGGGGCACTTCTGGGGAGGAGGGTGTATGTTGGGTGACCCAGGAAGCCTATCATGATCCCGTTGCCGACAATGAGGATAGCCACCAAAGGCTCCAAGTACATGATGGGGTGCATGGGCTCAGGAGGTGCAGCAAGGTCATTGATGCGTACAAAAGTTAGCTCTGCCACTAAGCGGTTCGTGTCGCCCGCCAGGAGAATTTCTTTCATGGCTCTGTACTGATTGATGCCCCTGGCTCCAAAGATCCTCCTGTGCACATCTGACTCCTGGGCTAGAAAAATGTCCAGTAAGGGCTGGGCAGGAACCACATTATAAGCAACAGATCGTTGCCCAGCCACCTTGTCGGCCAATGGCCCACCCTTAGTGCTTAGACTGGATCGCAAATTCGGAAGATCTCTGGATTTCTCTGGTAGCGGCCACTGCCACTTGGGAGTGCCCAACTTGTTCATGTCCGGCTGCCCCATAGGCTCGAAACTAAACAAGGCACTCTGGCTGGCCCTTTTCATTTTCTCTGGCAGAGACGCGAACTGCAAGCCAATGAAATCACCCAACTGGTTCACGAAATCGTTCATATCCTCCTCCGTGTATCGCGTTAGGCCAAGGGAGGACACTGCGTCCAAGAGCGTCTTGCCAGACACCAGCATCTTGGGCGACAGAATCCCTAAACGCAAGCGCAGGCGATTTTTCGTGTTTGTCAGCTCAACATCGCTGAGTCCTATAAAACCACTTGATAAAATGTGGCTGGCGTTTCTGTGCCTCAGACCATTGCTGTCCACTGAACTCCAACTTGCTCGGCCGGCAATCTTTGCAGGCAGCTCGCCCAGCTCACTCGGCGCATCCGCATCTTTTGGAATAACATCTGAACAGGTGACTTGCACATCTTGTGCTACACCTGCTGCAGGATCTGGGATGGAAGAAATCTGCAACTCTGCCTGTAACTCCGGCTTCACCTCCAAGCCACTAGTGGCCTGCATGCTGGGATACGCGTCCAGGAGCTGCTGACGGAAGGTCTGCCACGATGCATCAAGGTGCTCTGCAAAAGCTTCCCGGTCTAGAATGCCACTTGGCAAGTGGTCAGCCGTTGTCTTTTTCATGCTTTGCGCCGCACCGACGACATTCTACATCTACTGGTATCTGCACTTAAGCAAGTAATGTGAAGATTCAAGTTTGCAACTGCGTAAGCATGGCCACGTTGCACAAATGCCTGGCTTTGCTAAGACCCCGTGAATATACCCTGCCCGGAAAAGCCCTGACCACAGCTAAGGGCCTTCTTTGAACGACACACGAAGAGTGTGCTGAGTTTGGACCAGCTGCAAATCAAGGAGTATAGTCCTCCTTAAGTAGATAGAATATGGGGTATATGGTATATGGGGATCTTATTATAATATACCCAGAGCCATATTCTATCCACGGAAGGGGGACTATAGACGTTACAAGTTAGCCAACTTCGCACTGCAAAGTCCATCCCGCAATCTGACTATGAGAGATTTCTCACAAGAAAGCCATCACAACGGCAGGTATTTTGCCAACTACGAGTTATAAGGCCTACGCAAGCTTATCTTACCCTTGGTTAGCTAGAGAGAATGAGTGGCTGCCCACCGTAAACATGCTGCCAACTTACACACAGGGTTGGAATGCGATGCCTCCACTTTTGTTCGACGATCGTCCTCTCAGAGGTTGGATCTTCGTGGTGTGGTTCACAACGGAAACTGCGCTTTGCGCAGCAGCCCACGAAGTGTCTCGCAGCCAATCATTGCGAGGCGAGCAGCGCTGCGGGAGTGAATTCAACAACATCAAGCTCTACTATTCTACGACTTTTTCAAAAATGTTGAAGTCGGCAAAAGCCAGTCTCAGCTACCCAGCTTCATCGTGAATTTCTGGCTGTGTTGAAGCCTCAATCAAATTCACGCGGGGGTTGCCATGAGAACTCACTTTGTGAGGAAGCAATGCCTACAGATTGAAACACATCTGCACACTCACTCCGCAACTGGCCCTGTCCAGGGCACGGGTGGGTCTTCTTCCGCGCAAACCGATGGTTTGCAGGGTAACTTTGGCTTCAATGTTGCTGGTAGGTCCTGCGGCCTTTGCTCTGCAGGATTCCTACGAGCATTTGGGGCCCATTGAAGCCCTCCCTTCGAGAGGTTCTGGGCGCTATTTGCATGACTCTTCCGAACATCCGCCAACTCATCCAAGAGCTCGGATCGCAGTGAAAGCAGATTGGTCTTATGATCTTCCTTTAACTCGCCAATCCTGGGTTGCTGTTAAGGAGCTGAAACTGAGTTACCATAATGAGTATATATAGTAATCAATATGGCTTCCCCAATGTAGTAACTTAAATTAAGTTCCTGGAACCCCTATAATACCCCAGTTTCCGTTTCATTTTGCATGTTCTTATCCATTGGATTCTCCATTATACGAGGATTAAAGAGTAACTTGAATTAAGTTCCTTAACCCTAAACCCTATACACCTCTACATACCCCTATAACCCCTATATTGTGGTCGCTTAAAACCCTCAAGACCCCTTAACCCCCTAAGCCCTAAACCCTAAACCCCTAAGCCCTGAACCCTAAGTTCCTTAACAGCAACCCAGAATCATATGTTGCACGGCCCGGGTTGCCAACAAAGTGGCCACGGCATCACTCTTGTTGATCTCGCCTCGGATCTTCAAGAGGCCGTGCAGGAGCTCGGTGATTTGTAGCGTACCTTGAATATGGGTGGTTGTCAAAATTATGGTCCCTTTTTGTGTACCCTAAAAATTAGGTGCCGTACTAAAATAGGGATCCAAAAATGGACCATAATTTTGACAACCACCCATATTCTGACTTGCAGTTAAGGAATTTAATGAAGGTTACTATATTGGGGAAACCATATCGATTACTATGTATACCCATTATGCTAACTCAATTTAAGCATACTGTTGTGGCTCTAGGAAAGCTCATCATGTTGAATGTCGAATCCCTACTAAGATGCGGGTTCTGCATTGCGCGAAGTATGGGCCACAGTATTCAGCAACCCCCCCCCCCAGTTCATTTGAGAGAAGTAGCGCGGCCCTAAAACATTTTTTGGAGTACTCAGGTAGGCTACACCCAAAGTTAGGTTCAAAGTACTGGTCGGGCTTTCCTGAGCCTGTAAACCTGATTGATCCAATCTGCTCTTGTTGGAACTATGGGTTAACACAAAGCTTCCAAGATATCAAGCCTTTGGATTTCAGGTTTCATGCCAAAACTGCAGATTCGTTATTTGGCACGCGCATCGCACTGAAGCAGGCACGGTTCGTTCCGGGGTCCCAGTCAAGCTCACCCAGGGGCAGCCAACAACGGCAATAGCCCAATACCCAAACTGCAAGTGCCTACACCATCTGTTATTGCGTTTGAGGGTTTAGGCCCAGGCCAGACAAAAATTTGTTGCAGGGTGTGCTGATTTGTCCGGAATTTTATAGGGATACCACGAAGCAAGGACCTTTGCTTTTACAGGTTCATTCTCTGAATGCAAAGCAATGTTTGCAAGACAGCATGCCTCAGGACTTCAGGTCTCAGGCCAGATCCAGAACTGTCGGTTTCTGATTACACCGCTTGTTCCAGGAGGCACCCGCAATCATTTTTGCAAGGGGTAGTCCAACAGCTACCCAGGTCCTGGATAACAAGCATGTTTTGCAGCTGCTGGTTTATCCGGAATTTTCCTCTCCCTTGGGGATTCCAGGTTCCCAAAATTAAGGGTACCATTTGGGGTCCGTATAATAAGGACTGTAGTATTTTGGGGTCTATATTGAGTCCCCCTGATTTAAAACAGCTACTGAGCTTCACAGCATTCCTCCTCTTATTCCGTCGTATTAAAAACAACTACTCATCCTATGGAGATCTATGAATTCATGAAGTTTAACTTAAAACAACCATTATGTGATCCCAGTTTCCATTTCATTTTCCATTTTCTTTTCCATTTGATTCTCCATTCTTGGGGGTAATATTGGGTACCCTAATATCCCCAAATATAATACTACTCCACAGCGCAGATTCTATTGAATGTGTGTGAAAGCAGCCGCGGAGCTCTCCTATTGAACTTAATCTGAAGCAGCTGATATAAGAATCCTTCTGAGACACTCTGAAGCCCTTCTGAACTCTTCTGAAACCAATCTGATATCCTTCCGCATACCTTCTGAGCAAGTTTCAATCCCTTCCGAAACAAGTCCGAGTCTTTGCCGGAGCCGATCCCTCCCACTGAATTTAATTTTAAGCCAGGATCCAAATTGGTTTGGGGCGCCCTCACCTTCCCCTTCCTAGATATACACCCATTTTCGCTGCTGGGGTGGAGGGGGGATCAGGATCGGGTGGCTACACTGATCAGGATCAGGATCCAACAGAAGGCTTCAGTGGGCTCAGGCAGGCGCAGCAACAAGAACAAGTTCGTCCAACTACAACTCAGGCACCACTACCGTCTGCGTCAATGATCTCAAATAAGTTGGCACGGTCTGGTGGTAGATCCAGTTCATCCATTAGCTTCTGCACACCGCGATCTTGGATGATCAGCAAAAAGAGCTCCTCTGGGTTGCACTAAGGAACTTAGATAAAGTCACCATAATAAGGGAAAACCTGCTATTTACTATATACTCATACTATGGTACCTTAATTCCTATACCCATAATATGGTAACCCTAAACCCTAAATACCCTACATATCCATATACCTTATACATACCCATGCCATGGTAACTTAATGTCAGCTGCTTAATAGCAACCCAGCCCCTGGTGCCCTAAACCCTAATCCCTAAACCCTAAACCCTAAACTCCTTGGTGATTGCAATCTTGTCCATTCCTTCCTCTGTGAACACAGCCGTGTTCTTCAAATCTAAGCGCCCAGGTGCAGCGGAAGTGGACATTTTCCTGAGATTAGAGTTTAGGGTTTAGGAGTTTAGAGATGTAAGGATCTAGGGTTTTGGGCTATGGAATTTTAATGTTAAGCTGCCATAAAACGAGTGTATAATGAATAACAGGGCTTCCTCATTACAGTAACTAAATTTGAGCCATAATCTAAACTCCTAGTATCCCCCTTAATAACCCCTACAGTAGTCTAATCTCTTATAGAACCCCCTTTAAGGAGTTTAGACTATAGCTCATTTAAGTTCCTTAACGGCAACCAGTGTCATGGCATCCTCCTGGTCGTGGAACAGCTGGTAGGCTGAAGAAAACTTTTTCAGTAATTCACCTTGCTGGTTTAGGGTTTAGGGTTTAGGGGAGTAGATCATTATAATAATCCCTATGCAATCCCCATGTACCTGTATTCACTCCCCTACTCGTTTAAACCCTTAACCCTAAACCCTAAATCCTAAACCCCAAACCCCGTAATGGTACCTATATGTGTGGCTGGTACCTTTGGGGCCTATTC